GTATCTACTGGAAGAAACATGTTCATATACTGCCATCTTCATCTGTAACCCAGGGTGCTTCCGCTACACTTAAGAAACAACTGGAGGCACTTTCACACTTGCTTGTCTTGCTTTTTGAAACTGCCAACAGGGTTTTTCATTTAAGAAAATATGCTCTGACAGAAGACAGATGGAAAACTTTGGCATTAAGAATGTGCTTCACTAAGCCTCTCGGGCAGAGAGAGGCATTTTCCAAAATTGTGAACAGTTTTCATGAGCCACCTAACATCAGTTAAGTCACAGTATAAAAGTTGGCAGCAGGTGTGGCTCAGATTGTTTGAATGGCTGGGGAGCACACCGGCTTTGTTGTTGGAGTCCTATGTAAATGTCTGAGATTTGTACCTAAGTGTCGTTTCCTGATCGTGACAGCTAGAATCAAACGGCTTGTTCAGATTATCAACAGAAACTGACAAAAATCCTTTCAAGTCTTCTTCTAATTCCAATATTCATCCCACCAAACGACTGGCAAAAGATTTGTCCCACTTTGTGTGTGTGGGTTTTTGTGTGTGTGTGTGTGTGTATTCCCTCCATACAGCTCTTATAACCATAATAACCTTTCAACCTTTCCTTCCCTCTGCTCTCTGACTGTGTGCTGCTGCCTCATACCACTATTCATTACTCATCATTTATTCACCGCTGATGTGGTGTTCGTGTTCCTCTTTAGGTTTGTTTGAGAAAGCCACGCTCAGTCTATTGTTAATAGTAACCCAAGAAACTAAATGTTTAAGTGTGTCAGCTGCAGTCAGTGAGTCAGATGATTCAACACACAACTGGGCATTCATCTTTAGAACCTTTTAACAACTAATATGGCTTCAGAACAGCTTGTTGTTTTTCTTGGATTCCTTAAATATATGTCGTAATCTGTATGTAGTGAGTTACTGGACCAAACCTAAAGAAGGAGGATCTCTGTTCTTGATGGATGTAGGGAGAAATCTACTGCATAGTGACTTCCCATAAGGATTGCAATATTTAGATGTAATGACAAAGGGGACTGTGGGGGCATTAGACTTCATCCTGTTGTTCACTAATATTATAGATCCACCACTGAAAGCACTATAAAGAGTTGGTGCTTTAGGCATCAGTTGGCCAAAACAGTTAGGAAACTGACCCTGACTCCACATTCACATCATATCGTCATTATGAGCACATCAGCCTCCTAGTTGTAATTACAAGTCAGAGATGTCGGGAGTTTCTGATGACAACAACATCTGCCGCTTGGTGAAATTGACAACAGAAGTGTAAAATGGACTGTCGGCAAAATGGCTGCAAAGCTAACATCTCTGGCAGTTACATTTAAAGAAAATCTAATAAAACCACAAATTTAGGTGAATAAGTGAATTTATAGGGAACTATACACTGTTTGTTTATGTCTGTTTTCACTTGTTAATGAACCGCTCCGAATGCGTGACACTGGAAATAAAGCGAATTCAATGTAGTAACTGCAAATCTAGCAGCAGGAGTAACCATCTTTGAATGACATGTGAACACTCCCAAGGGAGGTTTTCCTATTCTTCCAGTTCTGCCAAAAACTGCATCAGTGCTGCATTTAAGGCAAAGTTAGGATTTTTTGTGGAACACACTCACCAATATATAATATTAATAATCAATGAAAATTATAATAAGAAACTTTCAAAACAATTTTACAAAGTGCTTTACACAAGAAAGGAAAGATTAATACAAATCAACCTTAATTTAAAAAAAAACAGCAAATTAAAAAAAAACAGTAAGTAGATCAGTAGTAGATAAAAAATAAAAACAAAATAAAACATCAACAAAATAAACAAATAAAACAATTATAAATAGCAGAAAGACTGACATAAAACAAAGTGGAGGAAGTGGAACTAAAACTATGAGAGGCTTTTTAAAAAAAAAAAAAAAAAAGAATATTTTAAGAAGTGGTTTAAATAGATGTTACTTATTCTGCAAGTCACCCATGATTTGTGCATGAAGTGATGGGCAGCACACAGATAAAGTTCAGATGAGCTGCACAAATACAAAAGGCTGTAATGTGCCGGATCAGACCAGAGATTGCCAGTACAGATTAAAACTGAAGTGTTCATAAATGCCTGAATGCATGACTTCTACTGTAAAACCCCTTTATGTCAGAATGCACTTTAGCCCGCTATAATTATTGATGTAAACAGGAATGTTGTGTGTGTACGTGTGTGTGTTTGTGTGTGTGTGTGTGTGTGTGTGTGTGTGTGTGTGTGCGTGTGTGTGTGTGTGTGTGTGTGTGTGTGTGTGTGTGTGTGTGTGTGTGTGTGTGTTTTTATAGCGTCTGTGACCCTGCGCTGTCATTTGTGACAGGATCAGCCCTCTGTCTGACTCGTCCTGAGGTCAGAGGTCAACAGCACCAGTGTAAAGGAAGAGTCAGAGAGTCACTGTCATCTTCATTGAGCTCTGAAACGGCCTGTTTACACAACCGTCTTCATAAATACACACTTAAAAAGCCTGGATGGCAGGAGGGAGAATTATGCTGATTGCTTATAAACATGAGATGACCTTTGTCACTGAATTACTGCATCTAGGAGACATGTTTATGAATACATTTAACTAAACACCATGGCTCTACCTCAGTATATACCGAGCAGGTCCAGAATGTGCCTGGACAAAAAAACACAGCCCAGCCAGACCTGGTTTGACACACTGACACACATCTGACAGAGCAGGCCTGTAATGCCACTCTCACTCAGGGCTCACTCAGCATTCATTCCTCTGTGTTACTGTAGCGCCCTTTAACCTGCACCAGCTGTGTATACACACACACACACACACACACACACACACACACTTACATTCGCTTCCTGCACCTCAGGGGAGTTTTTGGCCAGTGAGCTCGCTCTCCTGGCCAGTTGGCCCTCTCTGTTAGTTTGGTGCTCTCCAATCAGCACATTCCTCTTTCTCTAGACAGACACTGGGAGACGGTTTTGGCAGCGCACACACAGGGTGGGGTAACGCTCATATCCTGTCCCCTGACCTCAGATTACACACACACAGTTACTGTACTGTTTTGCTCCTGCTCGCACTCAAAACACCACATTCTTGCTCTCTAAACATACAGCTTTTCCTCTGTTTTGAAGCAGCTGTCACAGTCACTCTTTCAACCCAGAGCCCTTAGTGTCTCCCTGCCCACTGCCAGCCACAGAGCCAGTGTGGTCGTGCCAGTCCGCGCCCGTTGTTATGTCCCACACCAATACAGACTCTCCTCTGTCTGTGTTAATGACCTCCATCCCTCCCTTCCTCACTCCCTCCCCAGCCCCACTTGGGCACCAGGACTGGGCTTGACAGGAGCCTGTCTCCAACAACAATGACGCTCCAGTCCACTACAATCAATTTGCTGTTGATTGCTGTGCTTGTATGTCTGTCTGTGAGTGTTTTCCTCTATATAAACAAGCCTGTAGCATGCCTACAGGAGGGGGAAACAAAGAAAAAGAGACTGCAACACGCATTCGCTGCTGTGTTTTTCATCCCGAGTAGATTTCGGGCCAGTGTGTGTACCCAGGCATGAAGTCAGAGCTGAATGCTGGCCACCCCATTTCAGCTTTTTTTTAACGCAGGGAATGACAAAGCACACAGCGCTCAATCACACACTCCCTCTCACTCTAAAATGGTCTCTGACTTTGTTTTGCTGACTTTTCCTCTGCGAATGTTGTGCACTCCTTCTGCTCCCTCCCTCTTCCCTCGTTTCTCATGATTTCACAGTATTGTGAAACCTCTAGAGTCTTCTGCATGGGACGGGTCAGAAATAAAAAATTCTGCAACCCATACTAGTCATCTACATACACAATCCAAATGGGAACTTCTTTTCTGATCCTGTTGTTCATCCAGGCGAACACAACACACCAGTGGATACTGACCAGAGTGTGAGAAAGCATTAAGACAAAACACAGTATGAGTCACACATGGGACTCAAATCTGCTGTTGAACTCTGGCTCCCCCCTCTTTCTCAACATTTTCTTTCCATTGTTGTTTCATACACATCCACCAGCGACTCTCATGTGTTTATCACCCCCCTAAACCTCTCTTCCCCTCCAACTTCCACCCTCTCTCCCTCCATTATCTTTGATTTTCTCCTCTTTCTCCTCCTCTCAGTAAGTTGGGCGAGGGTCTCCTCATTGTCACTGCTCAGTGTGGAGGAGGTGTGAGGGGATTGAGGCTACGCAGCCCTTTGGCTCACTGCACTTGACATAGCATACAGTGTTATCACTGGACATAGAGGAAGGGGAATAACTGTGAGTGTGGGAGATTATTTGTGTGTTCAGTGGGAGCGTGTATGTCTGTAAGTCAACTGGATAGGGTGTGTCTCGCATGCATGTTTGCACATGCAGACTGTGTGTTTTAGGGTCCCAGTTAAGTGGACTTTGTCCTGCCTCTGTTGCTCTCCAACAAACTCTGGTAGCGGTGGGAGTCCTGCCAGTCCAAGGCCGAATGAGGAAGGGGTGGTGCTGGGAGTACAGTGGGAAAAAGAGGGGGAGGTGGAGGAGATAAATGGTTGAGTCCCATGTGAAACTGGCTCACATGGCTTCCTCTTTGCTCTGCTTACCATCCCCACTGTTCCCGATAGCCTTCAGTTTGGCCATTGTTTTCTCCCTGGCACGGTTATCTGCTAGTTGCCGTAATCATATTTGGGTTTCATAGCCAGGAGGAGGTTTTCGTGCTCTCATCATGTTTGTTCACCAGGGCTAATGTAAGGCCGAACAATGGTGTTATCTCCTTGCCTTGTTGTAAATGGACTGAGCCGTCAACATGTGGAGTTCAGTAGATTTGGTTTAAAGAGGATTATTATTATGACTCAACCCCTGCAAATGTATTAGCTAAAGCAGGGGCTGTGTGTCTGTGTGTGTGTGTGTTTCTGTGTGTACCTCATCTGGTTCATGTGTGTGTTTGTGTGTGCAGTTGCTGGTGTTTGTGTGATAATTCTGACTAACATAACGGTGTGGTGTCGCTGTCCTCTCTCCTAGGTGACATCACACAGAAGGGCTATGAGAAGAAGAAAGCCAAGCTGCTGGCCTCCTACATCCCCCATTTGCCAAGTAAGACCAACTCTTCTTCTGCTATTGCTTTTCGTCATTTCTCTTCTAACCCCTCCTTCTGCCTCCCCTGCGTAATTTTTACCTCCTCTGTCAGCATTCTTGGTGTTGGTCACTCGGAAACTTGAAGTAATTGCATCAGAGGAACTCATCACGTCTTGTCTTCAGTATGCTGGAAGTTTCATCTCAGATGGTTCTTTCCCATCTGTTTGGAGAAAATAAACAGCTTTATTTATATGGTTTTAAGTGTGAAGTGTTTCTTTTTTCTTTTCTTTTTTTAGCTTCATAAAAAAGTAACTTCACTGTCCAGTGAGGCTGTAATTCTCTTTGTCCAAGTCATCCAAGAGAATTTCTGGCTTTCTGTGGCACTCTAGTGGCCAAAATGTGAACTGCACACACAGTAACCAAGCACAGAGTAACTTAAATCTAACAACTTGTCTAATAACGGCACCAGTGAAGCAAATTCCCCAATAACGAAAGCAGTGTGTGTGCGTCAGAGTTTGGGCTGTCATTTGCTAACCTGTGGACACCGTTTCCTCTAACCAGTATCAGTTTACAATCAGTCACAGCAGTTGGGAAGTACCGAGTAGGGAGTTTCACTGTATCACTATGAACCAGTCACCTCTGTCTTCATTGGTTAGCTGATCTGTTGGGTTTGTCTCAGTCAGCTGCCTTGCATGAGGGTGCGGTGTTTCCTCTCGAACAACTGCACCACATTAACACTGACATGAAAAAATCCATCTTGATGTGTCAGTTGAAGCTAATTTAAAAAGTGGAATACTGGTCTGTCTTAGCTTGAGCTGCCACGTGACACATGTTTTTTGAAGTGATTACACACACAGGGACTTAAAAAGGACTAAATCTCAAATTAATACTTTAATTAAATTCCTATGGTTGTTTGTGGGCTCTGCTTTCTGTTGTATTGCGGGCAGTTTGCCCTGAATGTCAAAGCATGTACTGGGAAGCTTTGAAACTCCAAAGGTCACCTCCTGCTCCTGCACCCGTCCCCTTAGGCCCTCTCATCCCTCCAAACCATCCATCTCCACAGGGACTCTGCTGCTCCGGCCCTCTGGGAGGAGAAGACAGTTGACAGTTGAAAATATATTAGCTTGAATCTAACCTAGTTTCATGTAGTCTGTTAACAGTACAAGTTACATCAGTCAAGTACATGTCCTTATTTCACTTCATGTTCAGAGGCTCTGTGGTGAGGCTATATTTAGGGAGGTTCTCAGAGTATCATATAATATTTATGCCTACATGTAGCTGTAATGGCATTATGTAAAAAAGTGTGTGTATTTGTGTGCAACTTTCCAACAGCTCATATTTGATTGTTTTTTTGTTTTTTTTTAGTAATGTGTGTTTATTGACGCTGCACATTCCTGCTTCTGTTCTGTAGATGTGGATCTGTCTCTGCCAGATGTACAGCTCTCCCCAGGCCACAGTGCCGACCCCAGCCCAAGTCCTGAGGCCCCGGGCCCCTCCACCTCTTCGGCCTCCAGACACCACCGTGCACACCGCAGTGGAGGGGCCAGGGACGATCGCTACAGATCGGGTACACATCATATTACCCATGAAAACCATCAAACACCTTAAATAAACTCCATGCAGCAGCAGCAGTAAAATCAGCCCGTCAACTGACTTTTTAAATATATTTCTTCTTGTTTGTCTCACTGTGTTTATTCTTACTGTATCTGTAGACATCCACACAGAGGCTGTGCAGGCAGCACTGGCCAAACACAAAGAAGAGAAGATGGCGCTGCCCATGCCAACCAAGAGACGCTCAGCTTTTGTCCAGTCTCCCATAGATACCTGCACACCTCCAGGTAAACGACATCTCTCACGCTCAGTGGCCAGCTCGTTGGGGTAATGATTATGGGGCCTGCTTTTCAATCAGCAACCTGGCTTCAGCAAGCGTCCACACTGCTGAAGTGCCCTGGAGCAAGACTGTGTCCCTACCATCTGCAGGGCAGAATCATAAATATGTGCCCTGGGGCTAAATAAAGTGAAAAAAATCTAAAGAGACTCCAATGAATGAGGAATGAGTCATGATCAGGAGACTATGCTCCATTTATGTGCGTTGCTTTCTCTTTTCTATCAGACACGTCTTCTGCATCAGAGGATGAAGGCTCACTGCGCAGGAAGGCCGCCCTCAGCGCGGTGCTGGCCCAGAGCCTGCAGAGCCCTGATTACTGGATCAACCGTTCCGTCCAAAGCTCCTCCACGTCCTCGTCTGCTTCCTCCACCCTCTCCCATGGAGAGCCCAAGACCCAACCACAGCCCCAGCTTCAGCCTGCTGTTTCCTTATTGGCCGACGTACTGGCACACACACGCATAGGTAAACTTCTCTGATGAATAGCTCCAATATTAACACATATGTAACAGTGATGCGCTGGCTGTTGTTCTTCTTTATGAGGCTCAATTTCTCTCCTCCTCCAGAAAACAGTGTCCCCCCAGATGTGACATCCTCCACTCCCCAGGATAGAGGGTCCAGGGTGGACCTGCCTCCGGCGGTCAGGGGCATGAGCCGCGGACAGAGCCGCTCCAGCATGCTCGATACTGCTGACGGTACACTCACACTCACTCACACAAGCCAGGATGTCTAGAAATGTCTGAAAAAAAATAAAATCAGTAATTTCCTATTCCTGAAATGTGATGAACTCGGTTACTGTCATCTGGTCCTCTGGTTCCTGCTTCAGATCATGAGGTTAAACCATTTGCATGTTCTAATCGTGGCAGTAGCTGAGTGACATGTTCTGTTTCGCATTGTCTGTGTGCGTCACAGTATTGCAGTGACAAAAATGATTTGAGTGTGTTCAAATCAATAAACGATCTGCCCATGTCCATCCCGAGTCACCTTCAACATTATCCTCATTTCACTGTGAATCCTGCTAATGACAGATATTTTGTGTTCTTTCTTTTGGGTCCATTAATCCTGTCCCTGTCTTGCCTTTCATTTAAAAAAGGAAAAAGAAAAGGTAATATAAATCGAAAATCGGGGAATGGGAGGGATGCTGAAGAGGCCCAACTCAGCTTGCTTTCCAGCCTGGTGTTTGTCTATCTGTCTTTATGTTTGTCCGGTGTTGTAGGTCTAGACGTAGAGAACCTCCTATATTTGATTTCCCTATCGTCCAATCTGTGTCTCTTCAAGCACAAATTTCCCTTTCGAATCCTTCCTGCTGCTGATTCTGATCCTGACTGTGCTAGTGCGTAGGGTTCTGCCTGTCTGAGGGTCTGTTATAGAGTAGAGGTTTGTGTTAGAATAGACTTGCATGTGTGGGTGAGCGGTGTGTTTTTGGTTGCTTGTTTGCATATGTTTATGACGGTAGTTGTTCTCGGTGTTTGTCCAGGCGTGCCTGTCAACAGCAGGGTGTCCACTAAGATCCAGCAGCTGTTGAATACACTCAAACGGCCCAAAAGACCACCACTCAGCGAATTCTTCCTTGATGACTCTGAGGAAATTGTAGAAGGTGAGACGCACCTTCTCAACAACAACAGTGTGCATATAGATTCAAGATCTGGTTCTTTTTTATGGTAAAAGGAGAAAAAGTCACAGAAATATATATATATATATATTAGCACCCATATAGTCTGATAAACAATACCTCCCAATGTGTTAGATGGGTTCCTTCATTCTGACTGATTGTGGGTGGTATTTTTCCAGCTTTCATATTGTTGAATTTTTCCAATTACTTACACAGCTATTAACATAGCCGGCATAACTGCGAAATACTATTTATGTCGAATTAATGGAAGTGCAACAGAAAAAAGAAAACTGTCCAAAATAAACTGATCCACCATTTTGCAGTAGCCAGAGAAAACTCTTATTTTAAACCAGACCACACTGGTCAGAAATTACATGCAAATCCTCTTGGCTGTTGACAAGCTTATTCATTGCCCACAGCTTTGTGTGGTTACGCAGTTCTTTTGGAAAATACCCAGATGCTTGTGACATACCAGTTATGTTGTTCACTGTGTTATTGCTACTTATCTGTGTCTCTTTTGATGCTCAGTTCCCCAGCCGGACCCTAACACCCCGAAGCCTGAGGGACGTCAAATCATTCCGGTGAAAGGGGAGCCCCTCGGGGTGGTCAGTAACTGGCCCCCTGCCCTGCAGGCTGCTCTGGCCCGCTGGGGGGCCACCCAGGCCAAGAGTCCTGCCCTCACTGCTCTGGACATCACTGGCAAACCCCTCTACACACTCACATACGGTGAGCCACAACTCCACTCATGGTTTTTGTTTAACCTCTCAGTTTATGAAGATAGATGTTTAAATGTTCATATTACTGTGTCCACTCGGCCTGCACAATTAATCACAATATAATTGAAATCGCACCATGGCCAAGTGCAATAGCCAAATCGCAGGTGCAGCAATTTTTTTGATAAAGGTCAAATTTGTCACATTGCTGTGCGTTGTTAGCACCATAAGCATGGTGATGCTACAGAGACGCCCCGGCCTACCAAACATATTCTCCAGACGTACAGGAACATGTTTGTTTGTTACAAGACTCAACAAAAATCACATCAACATTTTAAATTTCTTTCAGTGAAAATAAAATGCAAAAATGACCATTCCAACTGAAATCGCAATTGCGATATCTGCCAAAAATAATCGCAATATGATTTTTTTTTTTTTTTTTTTTTTTGCATATTGTGCAGCCCTAGTGTCCACAAAATGTAAATGTGAGATGTATTTTTGCATATGATCTGGTTGAATAAATGATTCACTGAGAAGAGAAACACCTACAGTACATTTCCCATGTGAAGCTACAGTGGGTTGTGCGGTTCAACTATCCCGGAAAAGTTATGCCACATTTATACATGGTAAATAAACAACAGACATTTTAAAATCATCATTCACTTCTGTTCACAGGCAAACTGTGGAGTCGCAGTCTGAAGTTGGCCTATACACTGCTGAATAAACTGGGCACCAAGACTGAGCCTGTCCTACAACCTGGAGATCGGGTAAGAGTCTGTCAGTCACCACTCTGTATGTAAAGTATGAAGGACCAAGGAAAAGGAAAATAAGTTTTCTGGTTTTTTCTCAGGTGGCGTTGGTGTATCCCAACAGTGACCCTGGCATGTTCTGGGTGGCTTTCTATGGCTGCCTGTTAGCCGAGGTCATCCCTGTGCCCATAGAGGTACCACTGTCACGACAGGTAACGATGTCACTGCTGTCAAGTGAATTCCTCTGTTGTGATCGCTCACATGTAATACTACGTTGTATAATAAAAGACCATTCATAGATTGAGAATGATGCAACCAAACACTTAATAATTCAGTCAGGTCGTAATTTATACTCACAATGTGCCAGAAGCATTCACTCGCCAAAGAGGCAAATATCAGTCAGGATTCTGTGGCACTTAATGAAAGATAATCGTATCGTGTCCGATGATTGTATCTGAGCAGCTGTTTTATTTATTACTTATTTTATAAAAACAGCAAGGCATTTAATGCCACGTATGTTGGAGCTACAAAAGAAACTTTTTTCACAACGTTGTGACATTTTTTTAGACTAAATCGAGAAAATAATCAGCAGTTTAATCAGTAATGAAAGTGTTCGTTAGTCGCAGCCTACAGTGATGCTTCTGATCATCACTGGGTATATGATGTAAATAAAGCGTCATTACTCTCATGTCCACAAAGACAATATGGATTTATTAGATGACCAGCATATTGACAGAAAGACTGTATGCATGTCTTTTAATTGTCACAGTCGTGTACATGTGTGTCTCCCAGTGTGCCCTAAGTGTCTTCACTCTTGTCTCTCTCTGCAGGATGCAGGCAGCCAGCAGATTGGCTTCCTGTTGGGCAGCTGCGGTGTTAGTCTGGCGCTGACCAGTGAGGTGTGTCTCAAAGGGCTTCCCAAGACACCAAACGGAGAGATCATCCAGTTCAAAGGTCAGTCAGCCTAAACGCACCATTGCCAACACTGCTGGCTCAGCAGGAGACATCTCTGTCTCAGTCTCTTTGGGAGCCATTAGATAGACTCATTAAGGGGAATATACAGTGTGATGTTCAAAGGCCAATGTAGGGACGAAACGTGTGAGTGGGCAGCTGTGTTTCACTCTGCTTGTTAAATATTGGCTGCTCACCTTTGGCCTTTTTAAAACCAGGAGGTTGCAGGGTGAACATTGTCGGTTTATGGCCACTCCAAATTAGTGTGCCTAAACTCACTTTCTTTTTATTCCACTGTGTCAGCTAAAATATTTCTGTATGTTTGTTTGTGGTGTTGTGGTGTTGTGATTATGTTGACCAGGATGGCCAAGGATGAAATGGGTAGTGACAGACACCAAGTACCTGACCAAACCATCCAAAGACTGGCAGCCTCACATCCCCACCGCCAACACAGACACCGCCTACATAGAGGTACTCTTCAAAACATTAAATATTTCAGTAGTTGTAGTATTACTCTTTTGGTTATGATGAATTTTATTTGATTTTACTGATCAGAGGTACATCACAGAAAGGTGTGGTTCCTATTTATATTATACTTCTATTTATTAATCCTCATGCAGGACTTCTATGGCTGTTTTAAATTAGGCTCACAGGCTAATTTGTTTAAGAAACTTGGGACTCTTTTTGTTTTACACTTTTTGTCCACTTCATTAATATTATTATTAGTTTTTTCTTTTTTTTCCCATGGTCTGAATCCTTGTATTTACGCTGTGTTTATGTGTCCTAAGAAAATAACTTACTAACTAATAATAATTTAAAACTCTTAGACAAGTGCTATATATCTAATGTGTTTTATTATTATTGGTTTGTTTCCAGGTTGCTTATGCTTGCATTAAATATTGTCAATGTCTGTGTTTGTTTTTCTGTGTCTCTTCCACCAAAGTACAAAGCGAGTAAGGAAGGAACAGTGATGGGAGTCGCTGTGTCCAAGATCTCCATGCTGACCCACTGTCAGGCCCTGACCCAGGCCTGTAACTACTGTGAAGGTCAGCACTCCGTGCAACATAGATATCCCTTTCTTCTCTCCCTCTATCTGTCTCTCATACTCTTGTGTGTGTGAGGGTGAGATGGTGCAGCATTATAAACTAAGCATTAAAGCAAATTTTACAACCTCTTGAGCTCTTCAGCAGGACGTTCCATCGGCTGCATGTCCTATAATTAATTTTCACTCTGTCCTCCTCAGAGAAAGAGTCAGAAACGCATGGCATGAAAACCACAGAGAAGATTAGGATTAGGATCAGTTAGCTAGTGACTGCACATACAGTATCTTCGCTGATGTCTTCTTGTGTTTTCTCTCGTAGGGGAGACGTTGGTCAATGTGTTGGACTGTAAGAAGGATATGGGAATGTGGCATGGCGTCTTAACGGTGAGGCTGAATGCAACATTTTGTAACTGTATATCCAGATTACCTGAAATTTAGTATGAAGTGCAGTGTGACATTGATAATATGTGTGTTTTTTGTTGTTTTTTTTTTCCTTGCAGAGTGTCATGAATAGAATCCACACCATCACAGTGCCATATGCTGTCATGAAAGCCTGTCCTATGTCCTGGGTGCAGAGGGTCCACATTCACAAAGCACGTGTGGCCTTGGTGAAGTGCCGTGACCTCCACTGGGCCATGATGGCCCACAAGGAACAGAGAGACACCAACTTGTCCTCTATACGTATGCTGATTGTAGCAGATGGAGCAAACCCATGTGAGTCACTTGTCCTGCACAAACACCGTCCCTTTGTAATAGGGACTTGTATTATTTAGGTTGAGAGTTTTAACTATAACTGCTCTGTTGTGCTAATGTTTTCACCCATTGTTTTTCATCAGGGTCTGTGTCGTCATGTGACGCCTTCCTGAATGTGTTCCAGTCTCATGGTCTGAAGCCTGAGGTCATTTGTCCATGCGCCACCTCTCCTGAGGCCTTGACTGTGGCCATACGCAGGTACGACATCTGCATCCTCTCATGTTCCTGGAAGAGCTGCTGTGGCATGTGGGAGTCCAAAACTAGTGCAGTTTTGTCTCTTCATTGTTTCAGTTGTGTTTGTTTTGTTTTTTTATAGTTTACACCTGTCATGTAACTGATTACCCACAAGTGTAGGAAGTAAAGCTTGTAGGAGGCAGACTGAGTGAGAGGAACAAATACACGGATGTAAGCAGAGACCTGTGGTTTGACACCAACTGGCATGACCTTTGTACTTGGTTACTCACAAAATCACATCTCCAGTCAACATCATACATTTCTTAGATCAAGTTAAAAATCAGGCTAAAATAATTTCACTACTTTAAGGGTAAACCAATTCATTTACAAGGATTATTTGAGAAGAAAGTGTAACTTTTTGAAAAACCACCAAAACATGTGCTATGCCTTTTTTTTTTTTTTTAACCCTCTGCACTTTTACTATGAGGCTGGCTTCCTGTCTGGCTTGTTTTTTTTCTGATGCCATCACTTCTCTGTTTTAAGTTTTAATGTCATCTGTATACCAACAACTGGAATCTATACAAATAAGTTCTTATAATTTGAAACACATCAAATCCAAAATTTAGAATATACAGTATAGCATTGATCATAAAATATATATATATATATATATATATATATACAATAAAAAATAATAATTAAAAATACACATTTTTTTCCCTTGTAGACCTGGTGCACGAGGAGCTCCACTGCCTGCCAGGGCCATCCTGTCCATGGGCGGGCTGAGCCACGGCGTGATCAGAGTGAACACAGAGGACAAAAACTCTGCGCTCACCGTTCAGGATGTGGGCCACATCATGCCTGGAGGTTAGCAACTGCAGTTGGTTCTAATTGGCGCAGCTTAAGTGCAGCAGCTGCCACATTTACTGTGCATTATTAACCTCATCTTTGTTCACCGCCCCCTACAACATCAGAATGCAGGGTCCTAAACAAACTGTACGTAATGTGTGTGTTGTGAATTGTCCGTGTGTTTCAGCTCTGATGTGCATTGTGAAACCTGACGGGTCTCCTCAGCTGTGCAAGACAGACGAAATAGGAGAGATTGTGATCAACTCTCGGGCTGGAGGCACCATGTACTATGGCCTGCCTGGTGTCACAAAGAACACATTTGAGGTCTGTCAAAGTTAAAAAGCCGTGTTTCAGAACTGCCTGTATGACTCCTTACACATCTGTTCCTGATACACTGATCTCTATGTACAATAACTGCCGAAATAATGAAGCAGAGTGTAAAAACATGTAACATGCTGTGGTAGTTAAGTAAGTATTTGGTATGAGGCAAAATACATCCCTTCTTGAAAAGTTATTCTAATTAATGAACTTTCTGGTGATGTGTCTGTGTGTATGCTGCCTCTTGTCTGATGTGCGCTGGGATCAGCTCCAGTCCTCCGCATCCCTGCTCAGAATAAGCTGGTTGAGAAAATGGATGGATGGTGAAGGAGCACTGACTTAAATGATCCACTAGATGGAGCCACATACATCAGTTGCATTGTATTTTTTCTCTTGTTTACTGATTAAGAGGCTGCATAAGACTCTGTTTACATACAGAAATATATCATTTCTGTCTTTGACTTTTAATCCTTGTAGACAATAAACCAGCCCTTAACAACAGTAAAAATATAACTGCGGGATATCTCAGTTCTTTTGGTATACTTTTGAAATCTAATGACAGGGTGAGTTTTATTTTGCACCTGTTTGAGTCCAGTTTTTGATCTCACTGCCAATCTGTAGGTGATCCCTGTCAACCAAGTTGGAGCACCCATTGGAGAAATTCCCTTTACTCGGACCGGCCTCCTGGGATTCGTAGGACCGGTAAGGAACGCATACACAAAAATAAAGAGGGTTAGTAAGTGAAATAAAGGTGGTGAGACTTGTATTTCCCTGCTGAGTTAAATATGTGTGCTCCACAGGGCAGTCTAGTGTTTGTTGTGGGGAAGATTGAAGGGCTGCTGATGGTGAGTGGGCGACGCCACAACGCAGACGACCTGGTGGCCACCGCGCTCGCAGTGGAGCCTGTCAAAACAGTTTACAGGGGGAGGTGAGATACCAACTGTTTCCTGTGAGCCAGTGTGTGTCTGTGTGTGTACAGTTGCAATTTCAACGTAACAGGAAGGAAGGAAGGAGGAAGACCATTCAAGCAATAAATGTACCCACAAAGATAAATAATCAATAATAAATTTGTGGTATTTTAAGTGAGAATAATAGCTCCAGTCTATCCCACCATAGCTGAATAATCCCTTTACTGGATCTCTTTACATCTGCAGGTCTTAAAAAGTCTGAAAAGGCTCTAAATTTACTTCCCTCAAAAAAACAAAAGTCTTGACCATTAACTCTTGCTTGCCATAGTTGGCATTTGTTGTAATTTTGTTGAGTGAAGTGTATACATGTATATTAGGGATGCCCCAATTGATTGTCCACTTAAATATACATTATACATTTATCTTTATCTTTTATATTCTTTTTTTATTGTTAATAAATGAATGTACTTGATAAATAATTGTAAGTCTTACATTTAACTGCAGAAACCTTGCTTTAGCACTCTACAGTCTGCGTCAGTGCGTTACACTAGAGTGTGTGTTTGTGCTGCAGGATCGCTGTGTTCTCAGTGACAGTGTTCTATGATGAGCGGATAGTGATTGTGGCAGAGCAGAGGCCTGATGCCAGTGAGGAGGACAGCTTCCAGTGGATGAGTCGAGTACTGCAGGTAAGTCACACCCCAATAACTGCCCCCCCCCCCGTTATGTCTTTAGTTATGTTTGAATGTGTTATGTGCATTTCAAAATCATGATGGATGAAATAAAAGTTCCTGTGTATTGTTCTCACAAACACTCAACTCTCAACAGAATTTTCTCTTAAGGAATTATGTATATCATATATATATATATATATATGATATATATAATATGATATGATATACTCTGTAAATTTTGCCTTTGTGACCCTGTATCCCATGATGCATATTCCCTGCACAGGCCATCGACAGTATCCACCAGGTCGGCCTGTACTGCCTCGCGCTCGTCCCAGCTAACACCCTCCCCAAGACGCCACTTGGAGGCATCCACATCTGTGAAACCAAGCAGAACTTTCTGGAGGGAAACCTTCACCCCTGTAATATCCTCATGTGCCCTCACACCTGTGTTACCAATCTACCCAAACCACGGCAGAAACAGCCAGGTAGGCCGCCTTCAACCATATCTACTGGTGCTTCTTACATAACAGTATCATAGATATTGTCATGTCAGTATGTGACATTCGACTCCTGATTCAATTTAATCCAGTCATCAGTTTGACAATTAATCAATCAAACACTGATGGGTTTTTGCTTCTATCGTGGGGTTTGTACTAAAGTATGTCACTGTATGTCCCTGATTGTCTCTCACTGGTTCAGTGGATGTTGGACCAGCTTCGATGCTTGTTGGCAACCTGGTGGCAGGGAAACGCATCGCCCAGGCTACAGGCAGAGAGCTGGGTGTGGTGGAGGACCAGGATCTGATCCGAAAGGTACTGAAACACAACCACCACACTCCCACTACACTGACCATGGAATAATCAAACTCTTAATAAGAGATGTAGCATCTTTCAGCACGATGTTTGTAAGACTTTAAATTGTTGATATCTAAATCGATTTATGCATCTGGAGAGTGAGACAAAATTTATAGTAATGTATTTTATATTGTTGCTTTTATTGCTTAGTCTCTGTATGTAACACACTATACAAGAGCTGTTTAATTAGTCGATTAGACGACAGAAAATGAATGAAGAACTATTTTGATAATCGATTATTTGTTTATAAAGCAAAAATGCCAAATATGTGATGGAAATTAATGGAAAAAAAACCCAGAACTATTAGTTGCATCTGTTCACTATATGAAACATACGCCTATTCAAATTAAACTGATGTATAAACTGCTCTGAATGGATGTCTTATCCTAAATCTGTTGTTCTGCCTTTACTTTGCTTGGGTTGGGCTTTAGCTCTGTATGTGGCCCACCATGATGGTAAGGCTCTAGTCTGGCCCCCACTTGTCTTTGCTTCTGCTACTTCTGTCAGCCAGATGTGCTTTTGCGGCCGCGACAGCCTGATGGCCACCAGCAACAGTTTTGACCCGGCGCACAGAGATGACTGTCCAGGCTGGCTCCATGGCCAGCAGGGGTCCACACACCGAAATTAATATAATACATTAAAAATGAAGTAAAATGATGTTCTGCATTTATAAGTGTCCAATAACAGACTCTCTCTGCCATCACTCTTTAAAATGGGAGCTGGCCAGCAGCCTACTAGCGGTAAATTAAGCCGACTGTAAGTGAATGAAAAAGAATCTGGAAGCGCAGACTTATTTTGCTTTAAGCAGGTAATTCAAACTTTGAGCGAACAATTATAAACTCCTTGCATATCACCAGTAGAAACCATGTTACTGTATATTGTGATGCATTATGCAAATATCATTATGCAAATATGTTAATTAGGAAGATTTTCGTGTGCACCTCTGCTCGCTGTGTTCACTGTGATGCTCCCATGTGTAGCATGGCTTGATGAGTGGTCAGAGCAGCCGGTCTGCATGATGTGACTCCTGATTCATTGTTGCCCAGAGCACGACCTGTCTGACTGAGAGAGTGGGTGGCACAAAGGATACCAACAGACAGTGATTTTAATGGCCAGCAATGTGACACTGCTGTAAATTATTTTTGTATGTCCAGAGAACGTCATGGTGTTAACTTTATTTGTTTTTTTTTCTTGTTGTTTTATTTATATGTGCTGCCTAATGTTCACTTGTCCTCTGCCTTTAAAGAACTTTGTTGCTTCCACTTCCTGTCCCGTTCTGCCCTGTGCACTGGCTAGGTCCTCAGCTTATTAACACTGCTGATCAAGACAGTAATAATGTGTTTAAGATTACTTATAAAATTAATTGTAAAACATAGCCAGTGGACTGTTCCCTTGAAGCCACTTTATTGAAGAAATTGTACACTGAGGCACTAATCTGCTGTGGAAAGTCTCTTTCAAAGTTGTCATGACCCTTTGTTTGAAAGACCCAAAGCTTGTCAGTTTTTGACAGTGGCTCCAATTTGCCTCCTACCAGGTGCAGATGGTCCCAGCATGACCCTACTCTTGGCAAAAAATATTCTCTGGACACTCCCGTCCTCCTGTTGTGTGCCTGTGTGTCTCTGTGTGAGAGGTCAAAAGCGTCACAGAATAACATATCTGTGATGCACTCTAAAATGTTTGCTCGTTCCCGGTCCTCACAAAGTCTGTTTGAAATGAATAAATGTATCTGTTGTCACTGAGAAGACCGTTTATTTGATTGTTCCCCGCTTTTATATGTTTCTGTTTTTTGATTGTTGAAGTATTATTTGCCACTGATGCACCTTTGTGGGATTTTTAATCGTGAAATAAATGTATTCATTCAATTCACCTTTTATGTTGATGTGATAACACATTCGTCTCTGTGCCTTTTCAGCACCAGTTCTTGTCTGAAGCTCTGCAGTGGAGAGCCCAAACCGACCCAGACCATGTCCTGTATGTGCTGCTCAATGCCAAGGTACATTAAACACACACACACACACACACACACACACACACACACACTCAATTATTTACCTCAATGCATCAGATAAATATACTGGCACAAACAATGCATAATTGTCTTTCTTTTATCTTGGAAATGGTGCCATGGTGCTAATGGTGATCCATTTTGTTGGTTGTATGTTCAGCTGCACTTCCTCTGTTTTTGCTCTAGGGGGTGGCAGTGTGCACAGCCACTTGTGCTCAGCTACACAAGAGAGCAGAGAAAATTACAGCCACCCTAATGGAGAGAGGAGGCCTCAACACAGGAGACAATGTGGTGCTGCTTTATCCCCCAGGTAAACACACACATACATTCACCCCCTCATCATCGTAGATGGCCATCCTTCCTTATTTTTCCATTTCTTTTAATGTAACAGCACCGCTGTTTAATATGCCTGTAATTTTAGCTCACAAGGTTCCCGTCCATCTCTTACTTCTGCAGGTATTGACCTGATAGCTGCCTTCTATGGTTGTCTCTATGCGGGGGTCATCCCTGTGACAGTGAGGCCGCCTCACCCACAGAACCTGGCTGCTACTCTCCCCACTGTCCGCATGATCATCGATGTGAGTACACAGCACCTGGACTGGGTGGTGAAAATCAAGTATTCATAAATAGTGTTCTCTGTTACAAAGTGTTTTTTTTTTTTTACCAGAAAATGATATGGTGTTTTTTGTGATGTGGTTGAACTGAGATTTTTGAAGAAACAACTACATCTTCAAACATATTTTAGTTTTCACTGAACCATACAGTATCTGTCCAAAACAAAACAAAAAAACAATTGTCCAGATTAGTAGAAGACATTATAACATAGCTGTCATTTGTCAATAGTAGATTACTCTCAAGCACCAAAACATGTATCTTACAGCTCAAAAGTGGTATGAACCTTACTTCAAGTGCCCTCAAGCAAGTAACTGAATCCCACCCAGACTCAGTGAAGTACTTCTGCTGTTGACCCCCATAACTGATTTCCCAGGAGGGAATCCAATAGAATTGAATTTTACCTCGGGGATCAATAAAGTATAACAATAACTAAATGCCTTTTATTTGAGTAAAAGCTCAAATGCAGGGTTTTCACTAGAGTTCACTGTGAAAACATGGTAGTTTGTGTATGGTGGTGAACTTCTCTGTGTGTTTGCTGTGTGTCGCAGGTGAGCAAAGCAGCCTGCATCCTCACCACTCAGCCTCTCATGAGGATCCTCAGGTCCAGGGAGGCTGCTGCCAGCGTCAACGTCAAGACGTGGCCCACGATCATTGACACAGGTGCGGGACTGTTGAGATGTGGAAGAACAGCTTAGAGGAATTAGGCACGATGACAAGCAGCTGAACACTTTATTCTTTATTCTTTATTTGGATCCCCATTAGCTTCCACACGGTGGTCGCTAGTCTTCCTGGGGTGCACACACATAAACACACTATATCAGTAAAGCAGAAAAAACAAAAGAAAAAAGCCAAATACAGAAAATAGTTAAATAACTAAAATGACTCTATATGTAAAACAATAAACTATAATAACTGACAATGAAAACTAAATCAAGATTTTCACAAATGCACATTAACAAGAAGGAAAATGAAGACAAAGGCACAGAAACCAGTAACATCTAGGTGACATTTATCAAATTCTGTTTTAGTGACCTCTTAAAAGAAAATCTATTCTTGGTCTGTCTGATGTAAAAGGGGAGCAGATTCCAATTAGAAGAAGCTCTATAAAGGACAGTTCTCTTCATGTCTTCATGCAATTTGTTCTTGGGCTCGGCAGCATCAGATGACCAGCGCTCACTTGACGTGTATTATACCCATGACAAAAAACTATATATACTAGTTTTTCGACAAAAAAAACACAGTTGCTTCAAGCATGACATTTTGTACTTTGTACTGTTTTTATGACTTGTCTTTTGGTTTCACACACATTTAGCACAAAAAATGTTTTCCCCCTTTGGCCACAAGGTGTCCTGTTTGCTCTTTGTCTAACTTTGAACATGCTGGGGAAATCTACTGTAGACTAAAAGCTACTCTCTAGCCCAAAATATATTCAGCCATTCAGTCATTTCTTAAATTAATAGTGCAATTCCCGAAGGTTGCTAATGAACAGAGTGGAACTGTGTGTGAAGGGTTGAAAATAAATGTTAAATGTTACAGGGAAATGGCGCATTTACATTGGAAATTGTACCGTCCTCCCACTCAACAAAAACACAGAACAGTTATCAGGTGGCAGCACATTCCCGACAGCAAACGGTCACACAAACAGTAAGAAAATAACAACAATCCTCTTCCCTCTCCTCCCAGATGATCTCCCCAGAAAGCGGCCTCCGCACATCTATAAACCTCCCACCGCTGAGATGCTGGCCTACCTGGACTTCAGTGTGTCCACCACAGGCATGTTGACTGGAGTCAAGGTAAATTACTTACAAATCAGACATATCATACATCACATGAAGCAAATCCGTTTGAATCTTTGACTTTGTACGGCTGCTTTCACATTCATTTACTGAAGGGCGAAGGTTTCTGCGCGCTCACCTTCAATCTGAGGTTTAGATTCTGTAACGAGTAAACTGCATTTTTGAGGCTCATACTGTGAAGGTTTGATGACAGTTTATATACGTTTCTCTCCAGATGTCTCATGCTGCCGTCAGTACACTGTGCCGCTCCATTAAGCTACAGTGTGAGCTCTACTCCTCACGCCAAATAGCCATCTGTCTGGACCCATACTGTGGCCTGGGCTTTGTCCTGTGGTGCCTCTCCAGGTAACACACACACACACACACACACACACACACACACACACACACACCCGCACATACAGACTTAATATCATATTTCATCTAACTATGGCCTGTAATTGTGGTGGTGTTGCTATAGCGAATCTGTTTTTGGTCCAGTGTTTACTCAGGTCACCAGTCCATCCTCATCCCTCCCCTGGAGCTGGAGAGCTCGCTGCCTCTGTGGCTGAGCACGCTCAGTCAGTACAAGATCAGAGACACCTTCTGCTCCTACTCTGTCATGGAGCTCTGCACCAAAGGCCTGGGCACCCAGACAGAGATGCTGAAGGTCAGAATCACACACACACACACACACACATTCATTTCTCACAGGAATCTGCTGCGAAGGCGACTAATAAACACCTGTCCCATAATTTTAAAATGATTGTGTTTTGGTGTAATGAGAACAATGACATTAGGCTGTAATCATTCAAACTGAGCAAATAAGCAAATAACTATCCACTATCCATTTTATGTAACAGACAAGTGCATGAAATGATAAAAAAAACAATAAGTAGAAAAGGTAAACTCAAATGAATTGTCAGAAGTTGAAATTCATGGTACTTATGAAACTGGAAGTGTTACATGTATCTGTAATAAATCTGGTCCTTGTGGTTCTTTATGTCTCACTTCTGTTGGAACCTCAAAGCACTTTGGATCAAAATGTCCATCAATGCTGAGTGCAAGTTTGTGTCAAGCTCCATCGACACTCCTCTGTTAAAAGTGTGAATAACCTTTAGCCGTGCGTGTCTCCAGGCGCGGGGTCTCAATCTGTCGTGCGTGCGGAGCTGTGTGGTGATAGCAGAGGAGCGCCCTCGTCTCGCTCTCACGCAGTCCTTCTCCAAGCTCTTCAAAGACCTCGGCCTGTCGCCGCGTGCCGTCAGCACGGCCTTCGGCTCCAGGGTCAACCTGGCCATCTGCCTGCAGGTTGGCTTCACACAGACACACACTGCGTCGTCTTATGAGTTCACGCTGCTTATCTTTACTTTTCCTAATTTGGATCATTGTTTGGTGCTGCATTACTGTAATAATTTCAGGGTGTTTATTTTCCTCTCTGCGACCTCAGGGTACTGCTGGACCAGACCCCTCCACAGTCTACGTTGACATGAAGTCACTGCGTCACGACAGGTAAGACTGGAGACCCTTATAACCAGTACTAAGGCAGCTACGGTCATCACATGATACGACATGGTGGAAACGAACCCGATGGGTCGTTCAGACCAAACAGAATGATTGACTTTTGTCCGTGTCCCTCAGGGTGAGGCTAGTGGAGCGAGGAGCGCCACAGAGTCTTCCGCTCATGGAGTCAGGCACTGTAAGTATTGATTATTGACCAGTAAAACTCATTTGTGTGGTGGTCACACTGGCCACAGACCCAGAGAGGTAATAGAAGTGGTCGTATTATCCCTCAAGCTAAAACCTCCTCTTATATTCTCCTCTAAGATCCTGCCGGGAGTGAGGGTCATCATAGTCAACCCAGAGACCAGAGGCCCGCTGGGAGATTCACATCTTGGGGAGGTGAGTGGGCAGAGAGGATCATGGGATAATGATATTTAAACTGGCTGACTGTGACTGGCTTCACTGGCACAGAGTTAAGCAAGCGTAGTTAGTTGTAACCGCAGTTTTTCTTCATTAGGTCAGATTTTAGACGTCACAGAAATATTGTGTCTTTGTTTAGATCTGGGTGAACAGTCCTCATAGCGCCAGCGGCTACTACACCATCTACGGGGAGGAGGGCCTGCAGGCGGATCACTTCAACACCAGACTCAGCTTTGGAGAGCCCCACACTCTGTGGGCCAGGACGGGCTACCTGGGCTTCATCAAGAGGACTGAGCTCCTGGATGCCAGCGGAGGTGAGAGGACGCATGATGAAAGTTACCAAGTTGGAATTTTTGGTTTCAGCAAATTCGCTGAAGTAAATATCAGTAAATTAAAGACACGTCGACACCTTCAAAAATCCAATATTGCTATAAAGCAGTTTTTCTCATTGAATTGTAGAATGGTCCATAGTGACAAAATATAAGCAGACAGGGATAGATAGCACAGTATTAGTGGTATATATTGTCAAATCACCATAACTGTAAATAATCAAATACTTTTGTCCTTTTTCTGCTACAGATCGTCATGACGCCTTGTTTGTGGTGGGATCCCTTGATGAAACATTGGAGTTGAGGGGTTTGCGTTATCATCCCATCGACATCGAGACATCTGTGTCCCGAGCCCACCGCAGCATCGCAGAGAGGTGAGGTTCAATCTGTTAGACTACGTCCACACTACCACGTCTGCATTTTAAAACTGCGTTTTCAAACGAAAATGATCTCCGTCCAGACCATCACACCTGAAAACACATACATGCATGAGCAATGACGTACACTCGGCATACACGAGCCGGTGTAAACAGGAAGCAGATTGTCTTCTCTGCAGTTGATTAGTTGGAAAAAATACAAGGAACGAGGAACAGCAACAGTTAAAACGTAAGATTTAACTCCTCAACAGCTGCTAGCAAAGACAACAAGGTCAGCAGTAATGATTGTATTTCATTATCCATGTTGCATTCACCACTGGTAGTCGAGGCTGATGAGACCCAATCAGGGAGCGACCGTGGGTGTCCACGTCATCGTTTCCAAAAGTCTCTGTTTTTGGTGTTTGACGTGTGGACGGGAGGTGAAAACGTAGCAAAAGAGATGTGTTTTAAAACGAAATCGTAGATATACATAGTAGTGGTCATGTGCACAGTGTGTAGTTGCCTTTGCACACTTTTCTATTTACTTAAAAAGACTGTAGTGGTAGACAGTGAAACAGACAATGGAACTGAAATCGGCTCGTGCTCTCTCGCTCCTCAGCGCTGTGTTTACATGGACCAACCTGCTGGTGGTGGTGGCGGAGCTGAGCGGCTCGGAGCAGGAGGCCTTGGACCTGGTGCCCCTCGTCACCAACGTGGTCCTGGAGGAGCACCACCTCATCGTCGGGGTGGTGGTCATCGTGGACCCCGGGGTGATCCCCATCAACTCCAGAGGAGAGAAGCAGAGGATGCACCTGCGAGACTCCTTCCTGGCAGACCAACTGGACCCCATCTACGTGGCCTACAACATGTGAACACCCCTCACCAACCGATGCAGAAAACTGAGCCAGGCTCTGAGGACAGACATGAGGGAGAAGGAATCGGGGTGTGTTCAGTAGCAGCCCCGATATTAAACCTCAGACACACATTCAAAACACCAAACAATGTGGGAATGCGAGTACAGTACCAGTGCTGTAATGAGAACGTGCTTCCCTCTGAAACTGTTCCTTCTTTGCTTCCACCTGCTCGAGCGCTGCAGTCCAGGTTCACTGAGATTTTCTCTCCTCTGAACAGTAGACACATCTGTCAACTGGAGGAAATTTGATCTTCATCCTCTTGTGCATCCCACTTCTCCCTAATAGCTCCAATTCATGTTTTTTATAAGACATTTTTAATTACATACTTTCATCAGAGAAAGAAATCCTACCCTCTTCCATTCCTTGGTTTTTATCCTGAACCATTCATCCCTGTGTTTATGTTTTGAACCCACTCGATTCTTGAAGGCAGGATGGTGCACTGGAACTGCTGAGAGGAGCTGGAACTTTGCCCCCCTTGCACTTTGAAGTCCTCGCACCTCTGAGTCCACTTCCTGTCTCACCTGCCTCGAGGGGACACCCCCCCACCCCCCACCCCCCCATGTCTGCTGCTGTCACAAGAGCAAATCCACAACAGTATTACAAAGTGCCACCAGCAAGTGCAGCCCAGAGGGGCGATCCTGTTGCATTACCTTCCTACCAGGTGCACCGTGGCTGTCGCCTCCAATCACATACTGTATTTGCCAGCAGACACGCTGTCGGCATTCACATGTTACAAAATGTCCTAAAAAAAAATACACCAGAGTTATTTGTTGGTGTGGGAAAAGAAAGACTCACTTCATAAATGTTACAAAGCTGGATAGTAAAGATGAAACAGATTCTTCATTTTCGCTGTAAGTAGGCCTCGGTCCGTTAGATAGTTCTCATGATTGTGATAGTACTAATACATTTTTTTTTAAAAGCACCAATTTTCAGAAGAAGAATTGAAGCTATGCCTGGTGTTGAGCTGTGCATGTTAGTTCGGAAGTCAATCAATGTCTACATACAGTCCAAAAAAAACAAAAAACAACAAACAACAACAACAACAAAAAAAAACCAAACAAGCCCAGGAGTCACACAGCAGTGGACTGGTGGGTGAAGCACTGTGTCTGCTGATTATTTTAACAGAGCTTCGCCACATTTTGTGCCTCTCATGTTAGAATTACATACAAGTCAAAGCACATGCATCTGTTTCAATGAAAAATAAATACATTTAAAAACACTGACTGCTGTTCAGAAGATATTTCCAGACTTCTCAAAGACTTTTCCAATCATCCGGATGAATGAATTCTCCATCTGTTGTACAGAGAAGAACATTTTTAACTCTTTTCCAGGGCTACAAATTGTATTTCCTATTTCACTTAACAGGAAGTGACATACTGTATGTCCTTGTGATTTTTGTAACACACAAGTAAAAAAATGAACATGTTATTTTGCATGAAAATATGAAATATTCAAAAGAAACATTGATATTTATCAGTTAAACTGATAGTAAGATTTAAAATTAAGGTTCATATACAAGGAGGAAGGATGTGTTCATTTCTGGTCATTGTTTGGATTGGAAAATACAGTTGCAACACAGGAAACAGGTTACATTTTTTTATCATGTAGCAAACCGTATTTTTTCATGCGGATGTTTAGTCTTTGAGGATTCTGGAAATATCTTCAGAACAGTAAATGTTGATAAATAACCTTCTGGTTTATTTTTTGGAAAATCAGATTCTTTGCTTTGAAACTCAAATGTAAAAAATCAGCAGATCGCCAAAAAAACTAAGATAAAAAGGATAAACTCAAGGTCAACTTACTGACTTATTGGAGGGCATTTTGACAATCTACAACTCCATGACAACTGTGCAAACTGCTGAAGAAGACCGTGGCAAATGATTGAAAACTTCAGAAGAAGCAAGTAAGTAGACCTTGAGTTGAGTTTTTTTTTGTCAAGGGCTGGCGGAGTCTCACAGTTCACTGTGTCCTGGCTTGAACTGAAGCGAGCTGCGAGCTTTCAGCCCGTGTGTAGTTACCCATCTCAAAGCAAAGAGCATCTTTCATTTAAAGCCGATTAGATAAACGGAGATCATCAGAAGGCAAGTCACAGTGCCTTTTTATTGTGACATTCACGATCATGGACTGATGAATTTTGAGAGAATAAGATCAAGAATGAGGACAGAACTTTGCCTTACTAAACCTGTGGAACTTCAGTACTTCTTACATTTAATCCCTCATTTCTGGCTGTATGATTAATGTTCTTAAAGAACTGTTCCACCGTTTTCCACATGTTGAATCCCCAGTTCATAATTCAAAACACACTCATATCATACTTTTGTTCTTTTTGTTTAGAGGAAGGGGGGTGTCTTGTTCTTTTTTAAGTTTGTGGTCATGCCTTTCTCATTTCATCATTACCATTTAAACCAATTCTCTCTGAATGTCTCTAACACTGAAAAAAAAAGTTAAATTAAGAATGAACAACAATCAGTGAGCAACTCGTGATTTAAAAATGGCAGAATCCTCCTTTAACAGAAAAAGGGAGGTAATAAATGAGAGCAAGGGTGTTGTCTGTATACTGTATTTTAGAGGTCAAATACTGTATTACTGGTGTTAATGTGTACATGGAAATGAACTTTGTCGATTTGAAAAAAAAAAAAAAACTTGACTGATCTTTCATACTTGACAGCATTTTTCTGCATTGTTAATTTAATGGTATCACATTGCAAAAGAGGAAAAAAGGTTACAGATTATTTTGGCAGGAACAATGTGCACTTTCCCAATATCATTCTGTGTGTGTGTGTGTGTGCGCATATGTACAAGAGGGAGTGTGTGTGTGTGTGTGTGTGTGTGTGTCCAGTTTAACAGTGATATTTGGCTTCTCTGGTGCAACAAGGTTTGTCTTTTGTAAGAAAATAATCCCAGAATATTAAACCATTTTTTTTCTTCTTTTATTTCTTTTTTTTTTATGTCGCCTCCACTGTATTTTTAATTCTTTTCACCCAAAATTGGAATTTAATATATTTTATAGAGGTTTCATCAATATTTTCCTGATCTAATCTTTATTTTAAAACTGCACAACTTCTGCAAACAGCAGTTTAGTTTAGAAGCAGCTTGGCACTCAGTACAGTAAACCACTTTTCATTCAGTGACGGACACTGACGACATGTATGCGAGCCAGTATCTGGGACAAGTTAGAGTTACTCATGAATAACAAACTGAAGCTTCTGAGCGACTGTGTCATAATTGCTTTGTTGCTACTGTTTCACTCCGACAAGTTTTAATAAAGTTTTATAATTTCATGTCGCCCTTCAAGCCTTTTCAATAGACATTGGTGCTATTCAATAAGGGAAAGTTGACAGACTTTAGTCCTCCAATGTCATTACAAGCAAGGTTTCTTCCTGGATGCCCTTTTTTGTGTGAAAATAAGTCATTCTTTTTCCATGCCAACATCTTCAAAGTTTTCACTCACTGCTCGGTTCTGAAATTGTTGGTCATCACCACTTTTCATCGGCTCTGAGATCTGATGAAAAATCTCTCAACAGGCAACTCCACGAGGACAATGCCGGTCGACAATTTTCCATTTGAATATTTATTTCAGTTTCCAAGTTGTCATGTTGTGAGCAACTTTTCAAACCTCCAAAGTTCTTCTTAAGCACAAAATATAAATGTAACATGTGAGGTAATGAAATTAGGATCTTTCACACAAAAGTCACAAATCTCAAGGGCCCACAATGTATACCTCAACGACTGTCTGTTCACTATGCATCGTCGAGCTGCAGCAAAGACATTCTGAACTAGTCAATGGTGCGATAACTTCTAACAACATGTCTTACTTGACAAAAACACTGTCACACTGTCATTGGATGTGTTTCACGTCAAATAAAGAAAAAAATGCTTTGTCAGAGTTTCTTGTGCTTTTTCTTCTGGCACCTTCCTTCCACCAGGTGTCAGTCTCAAAAATGAAATAGCTGCCGTTATGATGCCGTCACAGCCCCGGTGTCTTTCAGCTTTGACCAAATCTACCCGTTATTAAGAATTACCTCCAGATGTTCACATCACCAGAACTTCTCACTTCAACCACTGTTCATTCAGGGAAGAACACTAGAATGATATATAACATACGATAACTTCATGTAAGAAATAATGAAGATATTTCTTTAATAACACCAAAGGTCACCTTACTACCTGATTGACAGGTTCTTCACTGACTATTAACTAGTGATGTCTTTGTTTTATTTGTCATAATTTACAACAAAGCACACTTTACATCACAACTAACCACTGCACAAACTCTGCTGCTGTGTTTAAGATGTTTACATGTATTTTTCAGGCATCCATTCATTATTATTCGGATATGAAAATCTCTCAGTAGACTGCGATGTGTCATTATTTGTTACATTATTGTGGTTTGGTAATGCAGATTGATGCAGATTGACTGAAGTCTGCTCTGTTTCCTTCCCTTTCCTCTGCTTCCTTTCCTTTCCTCTGCTTCCTTTCCTTTCCTCTGTTTCCTTTCCTTTTCTCTGCTTCCTTTCCTTTCCCCTGCTTCCTTTTCTGTCCTCTGCTTCCTTTCCTTTCCTCTGCTTCCTTTCCTCTGCAGTGGTGCTGAATGTGAACCATGCCTGAATAGAGGCAAAAACATGTGAAAATCTAAAATTATACAGCATGCATTTGAAAATGGTCATCAACAATATTAATAATAATGGTCCTTCTTCTTTATAAAGGGTCTATAAATAGTATGTTTTGAGTTACCAAGTTGTAAAAAATCCCCTTGGCTGGTTTTCTTTCTTTTTGGTAATATATAAGGAAAACATAAATGTTAGTAATGCATTAATAAATGCTCATGAGTTTCTTGTTTTACAATGAGCCATTCAATCTGCAGCTGCAAATGTTACTAAGTTGTTGATGAATGGATTTTGATCCAGATGCTCTGATACTTTTCCAGTAAAGTGTCTAATGAGCCACTGGATCCTTCTCAAGCTTTCTGAAAAAACAAGGCCAAATGTAATACTTGTTTCACAGCAACAGGTTGATCTAATAATGACTTTTAATTGATCTTTAAAGCATTAGTAAATTATTTATTCATTACCCATAGATCCATTGGTCACTACTTATAAGCCCTTTATAAGTGTGCCTCATTCGAAAGTGGTGCCAATGATCAGAGGTGGACAAAGTGCGCAGCTCAGAGACAGAGTAAAGATCCTCCTGATCAAATATGACTCCAATACAAGTGAAAGTTGCTCAGTCAGATTCAAGAGTTCAAGTACTGTAGTACTTGATTTGAAAAATACTTAAGTATTCAAAAGTACATTGTTTAATGTCAACTCGTATTGTTCCACAGTGAATTTACAGAACGACTGACTGACTGTAGAACCTGTAGAATAAAAAAGCTTGTAGAATACGACACAACGCTGATAGAAATTAAAACATTAAAACACAAACGAATCAACAAAACATCAGCCAACTACAAGCTGTTTATCTGGAATTAAACAAACATTTAATACCTCGACATGCTTTCTAAAGTTGGACGGCTAATATTTGTAGGTAGTGATGAATTTTGGTCGTGTTAAAAACAGCAAACATTTAAAACAAAAGGAAAATTTATTTAATTTAAGAAGAATCTTCTGCCTCATCTTCAAGTAGAGCACTCAAGTAAATGTACTTAGTAACTGTCCACTCCTGCCAATGATACAACACATAAATAAATGTGAATGTTAACTGCAGTGTGGAAAATGTTTTGGTTGCTGGTGAAAGTGCAGCCCACTCACAGTGCACAGGTCTCTGTACAGGAAACATGGGGTACAGGAGGTCTGTAAATTATCATTCTGCCACTGACAATCACCACTTTAGCTTCAAATACAACATTTGTTACTGTGACAATATGAGTATTGTAATTTCTACAACATGTAAGGTCTCTTATTTATTCTCGTTTTTTTTTATTCCCATCCTTCTTTCCCTCTTTTCTCAGTTGAGTTGAGCTCCCTTCTTAATTCTCTCACTCTTACAAATAATAATAAAAAGTAATAGGTTCTTAAAACATTATAGAAATATATTTAAAGACACGCATATGAATAATCTTTTTATGTTTTTTCCTTCCCTTGTATCTGCAGTTTTTCTTCATTAATTTAGTCACTTGACGTATTTTTTAATATTTACAGTGCTGTGCAAAAGCCTTAGGAAGGACGCTTTAAAAAATAACGCCATGAAAAGGTTTTATTTATCAGTTAAAGTCATACAAAGTGCAATTCTCCTGACTACACTTGTGCGCAGTTTTTTAAGGTAAGCCGTTCCAAGCATTTTGAAAGAACTTGCTGTGGGCTATGATGAATGAAGTGAATACACAGATACAGAAAGTTCTCATGCGAAATAACCAAAACTGCTCTAATTTTGGCAGAAAAAACTGTGTTCATGTTGGGGACCATCACTTTAATTCATCACGCTGACCGAGAAAAGAGCACTGGTGGATCTAACAGGCTGACTGGTAATTAATCCAGATGGCTGGAAAAAACATACACTGTCTCTCATTTGGCAGCGATATTTATTGACGACGGGCTGGATGTTTCAGAGCAGTATCAGAGCAGCACTGAGCAGAGCAGAGATCAGTCCTGTGTTCGGTCTGTGTGCAAAAGACACTGATGCTGTCTGACTTGTCTTCAGCCAACCTGCAAACCTGCTGGTTCGTGCGTACACCCCTGGCCTGTGAGGAAGTCCACACTCTTCCCCGAAGCTTGTCACTCCGACCACATAAAACCTCTCCTCATCCTCGCTGTAGCACTGCAGAGGACCTCCGCTGTCACCCTGAAGCAGACATAAACAGCAGCCATGTTGAGCTGATCTGAAGCCTGCAGCCTGTAGTGACTTTATACACATATATTATAAACGCACAAGAATCAGCACCTGACAAGAATCAGCCGCCCCGCTCTCCAATCCCGCACAGATCATGTTTTCAGTGACATGGCCGTTGTACCAGGTGATCAGGTTACATGTTGTCCTGTCAATGAGCTCCACCTCAGCTTCCTGCAATCTGTTCAACAGCCTGCCTACAGTAGTACACACACAAAATAGTACTCTACTTTTAAAGGGCTTTTATGGTCAATTAGCAATTATATATGAGAGCAATATTTAAAAACACGAGAGGAAAAGGCAACATTTTAATTTGACCTATTTAGCATTCAAAAGCAGTAATAAATATTTAATGAATGGTTTATAACACACTGTAATGTTGTGTTTATTCATGTATTAGTTAACACCCATAACTCTTCCTGTTGGCATCCACAAGCACAGTCAGATTTTGAATGGCAATATTAAAACAATGCTGTAATAATGTTGAATATGTCTTCATAGGAACCTATTCGTAAAAACTGCAAATTAAAAGACATATACAAAGTCCTTATAGCTGTGTACCACTACATTATAGCGTCTTATAAACCATTTATTTAAAGTTTATATACTGCTTATAAATGCTAAACAGAGGCAGCTAAAGTACAGTGTTTACAAGGAGAATCAAATCAGTTCAAGTAGAATAAAAATAAAATAAAATACAAATAGTAAAATAAAACAGGGTGTTTGACTATGTAACTTGAAAGAAGAAATTGCACATTTATACAATTATTTTCTGAGCAAAGATATAGTGGAGTAATGGCATCCTAAGCAGACCCTTCTATTGTAATCTGAGTTTCTCTGTTCTTAGTTAGTGTTTCTTTGTTAGTGCATGTTTGTGCACGTGAGTCCCTCCTGTTAAACTGTTGGTCCTCCTCATGTTGATAAAGCAAAAGTGACTTTCTGGAATTTCCTCCACTAAAGAAACCGCATTTCTGTGGATCTGAATTCTACATTTTGGCATGATGACAAAGATCTTCCAGCAATCTGTTTTGCGCCGCAAAGACTCATACACACACTCACTAGGCTTTGTTCTCACTTTCCCTTTTATTTATTTTTTTCTGTAATGTACTTTGCTTTCTATTGGTATTGTTAGTTGTTTTCTGTTTTTGCTATTAATCATGTCAATACTGTCAGCACAGCTCCTTAAGATTAAAAATATATTCACAAAAAAAAAACAAAAAAACAAAAAACAAAGAAAGAGGTAAGAGCACAGGCAGATTGGCAAGAAATCAAAACATCCATAAAGTTAAAGAAGTTTTTACCAGCTCCTTCAGACTCTTTATGGGCTCCATCTGTGCCACTCGTGCTTCCGGTCACAGCAGACATGTCTTTCCCAGTGTGACTCTGGAGCCAATACTGGTTTGGCTTTACTGAGACTGAGAGGGACTCCAGCTTCACTAACAACAGGCTCTTCTTTTCCTCGACGTGTAAGTAACTCGATGGCTACATAATGCTACATGTCTGTTTTCACTAGTAACCCTACAGCAGTGTCAGTGTCAGCTAACTGGCTGTTTGGTAAATGTTGCTATCGCTAGCTAGCTAGCTAACGGCTTTGGCTGGGTTGTTTTTTGTTGGCTTTCGTGTACACAGGGTAACTTTATTAAGTTGTGCATCTTTACGTGTGTTTACTGTTTACACTGGGCTTCATCACACCTTGCTGGCTGTGAACGTGAAGGGACGGCAGGAGGGGCAGGGGCTTGCGGCCAAAATGGAGGCTGGAGGTGTGGCTGTCGATCAGTGACGATCGCCTACAGATCTTAGCAAGATTTGGGTGAAGGATTTGTATTCATGCTGTAAATGGGCTGCTGTTAAACAATAAATAATAACAATGTTTTAGTAATACATTTTTTTTTATAATAATTTATCATAAATACATTTATTTTGCCTTTGCACAAGTGGCCCAGTCACATGTTGGGTTCCTGGTGCAGTCAGGACAATAGAGTTTGTTTAGCAAATGGTATCATGTCATTTGAGCTTGCTTGTCTTCACACATTGAACAATATTTATTAAAACGTTTAATGACTTATAATTTTCTGTAAGTGCAAACTTGCTTTATTATGATATATGCAGTTACAGGTGTTGGTAAAAGAGATTGATAAATAATTAACCATTTGGATTTTGATTGACAATTTATCTGTAAAAATATTATATATATATATATTTACTTTGACTTGACTTTATATAATTATGGCAACTTTCAAACCCTCTTGTCGAAGTCTTCCTTACAAAGTGTAGTGTTCATTTCAAGGACTTCCTGGTTAGGTAAATGTTGATGTGTCTGGTTGTAAAGTGGAACCTTATCCCTTCACAGTGAGTCTAAATCAGTCAGAGAAGCCAGCAGGGATTCGGTGTCCTGCTCAAGTGCACTTCAGCATTAAAATTCACCATCATGCCTTTCATGATAATCCTGCAAAATCGGTGCGTTTTTAAACCAACCTTTATAATAGGTGCTCCCCCATCCAGAGATGAAACAGTGGCTGAAGTTTAGGGTGAACTCATGGGTCACATTATGAGGAGTACAGATGGGTTGGACATGGTCAGTGAAGTTGAAGGGAGAGCTGAGGAGCACTAATGTCACATCGTTGTCAGACGTGATGTCATCGTAGTCCTTGTGCATTTCGACTCTACTGATGGAGTGGATCTGGGCATGATCTCCAGGAGCAGATAACACATTAAGTCCTGCCACCACACGGAAATGGGCTCTGCTGATCCACCTGGACACAAAACAGAACGACAAAGATCACATTACGAATATAATGGAGCCACTACTTTTTTCATGGTGTTTGCCCACCCCAAGGCACATGACACACAAGGGTTGGTTCCATCAGATCCTGCAAACAGTATCCTTTATTGCACAAGTACAACATAATGTAGGTAACACAGACTGGATATTAGAGTAAAACTTTAATGTTCCTCAAAGTAAACACAATCAATCCAGTAATTCAGTGTCCGTGCCCTCACTTGTCACTAAAACCATCTAGAGAGCGTAACAAGAGGAAGAGGCCAAAAACCAGGAGACATCCTGTGGCGTTCACAGCTGATAACAGGCCAAATCACATTGTTTTTAAAAAGCCAACAGCTCTAATAGACCTTTTAGTGCTGCCTCAAGGTAGGTAAAACTTCTGTCCTGATGGTAGGAGATTAAAGTGCATTTGTAAGTGACGCTGGGAGTCCAGCAAGATGAGCTGAGCTGTGTCACGTCATGTGATCATTCAAATTTACACTGATGACTTTAGAGCACACATTCACCAGCCAGACGTAGATTACAAAACCAACAAGATCACACAATCACTAGAGGAAGTATTGAACATCAGCTTGTCTACATTAAAATGTCTGAGCTGACCTAAGAGGAACAATCTTTGGTTTTTCCTTTTTATGAATAAAATCAGTGTTAGCTTCAAAGGTAAGGTTGTCATCCAAGATGGTTCCAGATATTTGTATTGCTGGACTGCAGTCACAGGCTCCCCTCTTAATCTTCAGTTTAAACTGTAACAGTGCAGATTGTAACAGGTAATGTGTGTTTTGCAGCCAATATTTTATCTATTTATTGTTACATATAACACAGGTTTGTTCTCTCTACAACCTATAAAAGCTCCTTGTGTGAAACGTTAATAATCAGTAAAATACCTAGCTTGGATCTTAAATGACACAGTCAGGCACCTACTCATATCCACCACACAGCCAACCTGAGCGTTTGCTATTCTTGCTTTGTAAAAATCTGGTCCCCCTAGTTGCATCCAAGACACCCTGAGGATAAACTCAGATGCACCTTTAAATGTGTGATGTTACTTTAGTTTTAACTTATGCCCATTGTTCCATGTAGATTGGCCTGTTTATCATTTGCTGCCAAGGCCCTCAAGCCTGTTTCTCTTCACATATTAAACAAGAGTGCACGTTTTCTTAATTAATAATTATAATACATTTCTTCTACACATTCAAGTTGCAAAAGCCTTTTGATAAAAAATAGATTTAAAAAGTAATTGAAAAGAGGATACTGTGAGAATCTGAGTTCATCGGGTGCGTCATTCCAGAGCTGAGGTGTCCCATTTAGTCTTTCACCTCAACATAGCAACTGTTGGTAAGTTCCTGCCGGAGGACGTCAGACTGTGTGTACAGGTTGATATGGGGTTAGTAATTTAGCCATGTAGTCTTAGGTCAGGCCATGAAGTGCTTAAAATGTAAGAAGTAAAAACGTCAGTGTAAAAAACATTTTTGTCAGAAATCTAGCTTCCACATTTTGTACAGTTTGGACTTTGTGAATTGTTTTCTGATTCATGTCTGTTAGGAGACCATTACAATAATATAAACATGAGAAAATGACGGTGTGTATGATGGTAACAGAGTCTAAATCTCAGATTTGAGTGGACTTTGGCATTAAAATGTGTGCAGATGCTATTTTTTCACTTTGAGTTGTTTCATGATGTTTTGTTAAGTCACATGTAAAAAGGTGTCAGACATCTTTTATAGCTGGAAAATGCAGATAACTGACAGTTAATTTAATGCCTCACCTTTGCATATGTTTTTGCATGTTATTAACTCCCTTCAGATCAAAGTTTTTCATAATGTTCTTACATTATTTTTTCTACCTCCTGTATTCAAACATAGATTGAGGTACATGTGACTGCGTGCAGCTCAGTTGGGTATGTGTGTAATACTCACAGGTACTTGTAGAAGCAGTGTGTGGCAGTCAGCACCCAAAGGCTGTTTAGGATTGTCCCGCCACAGTGGTGCCTGGACTGGATCTGGATGCTGACCTGCCAGGGCCATGCCCCCTCAGGAGCCTCCTGGCCCCCCATTATCCGAGACCGACCTGGGGGTGCAACTAGGGGCCGTTGCCCACAGCCTCATAAAAACAATCAAAAAAAGTTTTCATGTAATTTTTGAAATGACATCTCAGAGTTTACATTATTGTGTGTTAAAGTGTACGTGACGCTGCTGTGTTAGACATTAACACAGATAAAATTACTTTAAATGAGTTCTGAAACAGTCATTTAATTAATTAGTCAATCAACAGAAAATTTGTTTACATTTTACAACTGATTAATTGTTTAAATCCCAAGTAAAAATGCCGAAAATTCTTAAAAGTCTCAAATGTGTTGATTTGCTGCTTTTCTCTGTTTATATTATTATAAATGATAATTAAATTTCTTTGGAATCAAGGAATATGAATGTGTCACTTAGGTTCAGGGAACTTGTGATGGGCATTATTCACATTTTTCTTGGCAATTCCTTAAGCAAAGAATAAATAAGACAAAATAGAGAGAGAGTGGTGGAAGACATATTCAGATCCTTTACTGAAGTAAGAGCAAAAATATCATATACATAGAGTATATGATATTTTTTCTACAAGTAAAAGTCCTGCTTTCAAAATGTTACTTTGGCAAAAGTACAAAAGTATTATCAGCAAACAATACTAGTATCAAAAGTATTCATTATAGAATTATAGAATTATCAGAAACACTTAATAACACTTGTTGCATTGTTAATAATAAATTGTATATTATTTGGTTAATATTTCATGATGTATTTGTCAACATGTTGACAGTTTTAAGTACGTTATATGCCACACTACTAGTGGCCTAAATTTAAAAAGCATCATATTTTATAAGCGTATCATATTTTTATGTAAAATTTTAATCTGAAAAACAATTTAGAACAGCTGTCGGATGACGTAGTTATATTTGTCTCTGAAAGAGACTGACCTGTAAAAAAACGAGCCCAAAGATCGTTTGTTCAGCAGGTTATTATGATTGTCACCATATCATGTTTTGTTGTTTAGGCGACATCTAGTGGCCGTAGTTATTATGACAGGAGCAAAGAGAAAAGTGCGGTGACGTAAATAGTAACAGTAGTAAATAGACCATCAAAGTCCGTGTCAGGACGTCAGGAGGAGGTTGGGATGGATGGACAGAAATCTGACACAGGAGAGGAGGTGTCTGACTCCCATGTGATCCCAGCAGTTTATATTGTTCCTTTAACCCATGAGCGCTCAACAAAGTTAACCACGTTGTTATTATCTTATTTTTGTTTATCTTATTTAAACCCAAATCACGATCTTTTCATAAACCTAACCAAGTAGTTTTAGTATCAAAACTTGACCCAGCCATGAACGTTATTATGGTATCTACGGCCACGGTACAGTCGCGTGTTTATTTTGGTAACCATGACAACCGAGGTCTGGTACGTATGCAGCCGTATGGGGGCGCTATTTCAGGAGACACTCCTATGGGTCTTATCAAAGGGTTGAAAAAAACGATGGTTGTTGACTTAGTTACCACTGTCAGTTATAAAGAGAAGTATCTTTCTTAAAAGAAGAAGAAAAAAATTTAAATAGCTAATTTAAAGGCTGCTGTGAGCAACTGTAAGTTAACTACGTATATGGACAACTAACTAGTATAAATGAGACAACTTGACTAGATTCATACCAATTTGCCAACCAACTAATTTACAGAAACTAAAGAAGCTCGACCCCCCTGCTCTGCTTTTACTTACTGTCCTGTGGTGAAGTCAGAGCAGCCAAACACAGAGCACTCACAAACAGCAGAAGCCCCTTCAACTCCATGTGGTTTAAACTGCTGAAGACTTTTTTTCGACCAAAAACAACTGCATGTCCTTCTGACCAGTGACGTCATTTGTGAGAGTCACAACTGAAATAAAGTGTGTAATGACATCGTGAAAAAAATAAATGATATATAATAATGAAATCAATAAATAAATCTCATATTCCAGCTCAGATAATGTCTCAAAATTGACAGAATTTTTTAATTATTTTTTCAAAGAGTTTCAATTCATTTTGATTCAGTTCAGTTATGTTCATTCACACACTTACCTTACATAACAACACAAAGACAGGGGGGCAGGTTACCAGATTAAGAGCTTCCTATTTGCATATTAATTTGTGCTATTAAAGAGCAGAGTGCGGGGGGAGTGTATCAGTCTGATGCAGAGGCTATAAATGAAAATAGTTTACAATACTTCAAGAGGAAATGGTCCATATTTTAAAATATGCTCCCACACAAAAAACTTCCAAACATGTATTTGTTCAGACAGGTGAGCTTCATTGGCCAAAATAAACCTTATAGTTTACTTATGTGTTTGTAAACGAATGTAAAGAGAAGATGCTATATAAGTATACATAATGTAATTCATATATTTGAATGGACTATTTTTTTTTTTGTAATTTTGTATAATTTGAAACATGTATTATATAATGTTCCTTCTCTCTGTATCTCAGGACATGCTCTGGTCTTCTGGGAGATGTCTCTGACTGACTACCGTCAAAACCTGACAGCCAATAAATTCCTGCACTACAAACTCACCACACTGAGCCCACGGTGAGCCAAATGCGTTTTGTCAGAAATAACCATGTGCACGTTTTTCTGTGCACAGTCTCATCCAGGCTCATCCCTGAGCCCGGTGAGCTCTGTTCAGTGAGCCGCACTCTGGGGTTTGGAGGCTGCAGGCCTAAATGACCTTTACGATTTCACGAATCGCACTTGCCGACACTCCCTCACATTCTGCTGAGAGTCATCAATTATGCAGGGAAACTGCTCGCACTGAGGGGGAAGATAGCAGCAACAATATGGCGACAACCGCAGTTTCTCCCCAATCTTTTCCACATCTGCAGTCCTGCAACGGCTTTCTGGATTCATTGTAACGCTTACAAAGTGAGTATCCCTCATTTATAATCGCTTGAGAAAAAGGCACGTATGATGTTAGGTGAGGGCAGATTTTCTCTCTGTCGGTATCCTTGCGTAAATGTCGCAGAGCTGCACACTGCTCTTTTTTTTTGGAGCGGGATGGAAGAGGGTGTCTGCATTTGCTGAGCATCTATCGGCTGGACTAGAGCAAGGGGACAATATGTTTATCAATGATTTGATATCGATGGCAAGGAAATTATCGGATTAACTATTTCGTCGAGCATCCGAGGCATTGATTAGACCTTTGTGAGAGAAAATGTCTCGTAGGTTCGGCTTCAGGTAGGGCGCCGTCTGACCGATCCAGCCCCTCAAAAAGCCAAAACCTGCACATTTCTTTTTTTCAGATTTTGGTCACTATATTTGGCTTCTTTTATATACCCTCCGGATTACAGGATGATGTACTTGATTCACCACAAGGCGAAAAAGGGGCTGATGCTATGTGAGTAGCCTGATCCTCCTTCCATCATCGACAGCCAAGAAATTGACATTCCTCCAGGTGGTTTTTTTTTCGGTGTGGCAGTTCCATCAGTGTTCTCTAATGCTCGTGTTTGTTGTGTTTCATCTCATGTTGCGGACCGTGTGTTGTTTTTTATGCTGCTGTCTAGCTTCATACTCTGGGCTATCTTGTGTACAGATAGAGCTCTTATTGATTTGGCAGTAGACATGGCTTCACGGGTGTGGTGCAGATCCTTCAAGGCAACGCGCAAAAACGCACAGAATACCCCCCACCCCCAACCCCCACCAAAAAAAAAATCTATCGTTTTTACATTTTTTTTTTTTTTTGCTGAATAACAAGAGGGACATATTGCACATTTTTATTATGATACATCGACATTACACTTGTGACTTTGACAAATGCACGGTTGCGTTTACCACAGCGTGACATTTTCAACATACAAACCACCCACTGCAGCAACACCGCTTCGGCCAATTTGGTTGTAGCGGGCCACTTCTCTGCGCAGTACAGCCTCCAGCTTCTCTCTGTGGCTGAGCAGGACTTTTCTATTCAATGACATATTTTAGTGAAAACACACACACACGCACGCACGCACGCACACACAAACACACACACACACACTCCTATAATGGCGTCTACAGGCCATGCTTCTTAATTAACAGCTTTAGTAAACAAGTCTCCATTTCTTTACTGCGTCTCTGAAAATGAGAAAATGATCGAGAAGGTGCGAGAAGGTGCTAGTTTTCTCTGTGAAAATGATTGCATTGCCAAGCCTGGGTGTAAGCAGTGTGCAAGCCCACGAGACCCGAGACACAACAGGGCGATTGTTGTCACCACGACTCAATAACATTGAAGAGAATTGAAGGATTAAAAGTGCAGGCCTGAAGGCGTCGAGCGGAGAGCTCAACGTGAAGGCCCGCTGTACAGCAAAACGGTTTTTCCAGACAGATCGGTTATGATTTTTCTCTCTCCATGAACCCTGCATGTATGCATTCGTGCTTGTGCATATGTGTGCATGTGTGTGTGTATGTATGTGTGTGTGTGCGCTCCTGTGGTGCTGGAGCGGACAGCGCCAGCAGAGCAGCAGAAGGCTCAGCGACTGCAAGGTTCCGGGGTCCATTTTAAAACAGACGTCTTGGCTCACAGGCTGCATGTTTTCTGTGATCCCCCCCCCCTGCCTCCCTCCCACCTTCCCATACCAGGACAGATAGAGTGGAGTCTTTTCCTGTCTGATATCTGCCTTATATGTCGAGCATTTTTAATTAGATTGTGTTATGCAAGAGGGGAGCAGGGAAGTGACAGGCCTTGTGATTCAGATATGGTTGATTGTGCTGTTAAGGCGGCATCCACCTTTCTCTCCTCCACCACCACACGCTGGATAACAAAGGTTTGTGTGGAATAACGGTGGGTGGAATACAATGCAAAAGAAAGGATCATAATGTTAGAAATACTGATTCGAGTCATTTGTCGTCTTTCAAACAGTCAGCGTGTCAGTTTCAGGTGTGGCTGTGTTTCTGCTGAACCCTTTCTCCCTGTCAGCTCGCTCCCCTTTCCTTCAGCACTGCCTCACATTAGTACATTGACCCTGAAATGTCCTGCAGCTTGAACAGTTGTCATGTAACCATCGTACCCTTTTTACATCTAAGTGTGCTGGATAAAGGCTCCACTGAGTCATGCAGCCATTAAGTGTGCTGTGTTTTCTGTCAGCCTTTCTACAGCTATTCAAAAAATCATGAGGAGTAAAATCCTTAAATGGGTCTGTTGTCTTCATTGTCAGAGGTTTAGTGCAGG